ACAGGCTGGACACCCAGGCAGAATAGAAGATGAAAGGTGGAGCAAAATCACAACAGAGTGGCAAGCTCTCTCTTAAACAGATGAAAATGTGACAGACCTTGAGCAAGATGGAAAGACGAGAAGGTCAAATTAAGTTTTCCCCACTTCGCAACATCATAACAACACAAGGGCTTTGGCTTTTGAGCCTAAATTGCACTTTCCCGTATAAACATGCACACATTAATAGGGATGATTGCTTTTGAAGGATGAAATGGGAATATTGAGCAAACGTGGTCATTTGCGAAAGTTTCAATCAGTACTTAAATATATGCTGAAGTACTGTACATTCTAATGGATGTTTTTCTTAAAGTTGCTACAACAGATTCTAGTGCCATAAATTAATTTTATCATTGCACAAGTGTCATATTGGTATGCCCATCTTAATAGGCCAAAGGAAAATTTGGATTGGTATGAAATTAAAGTTTCTTTGTGAAAAAGGAGTTTACCTCCTGCAAAATTATCATCGTATCACTATCACCCCTCTCTTCCCAGCATTCTACACGAGTCAATATACGTGTATATTGTGAAGGGATTTTTCAATCCGACTCATAAGCAGGCCATGAAAATATCTATTCAAAGTAAAATATTCCCTTAATTAAACACAAGTATCATTAAAGCTGAAATAAATGTCAACTTGCTCACTTTGCATGGATTCCCTTTCCAATGATAACAAAGATGTATGTAATCTCACTGACATAAATGCATCAGACTCCCTGTAAGAACTTCACCAGAACAGTTCCACTCATTGGACATCTTAAATTATTCACAAACAGAATGGAACACAAATTTCAATTGTGTTTTTGGAATTCCCTATATGAACGCCGCTTGACACCCTGTGCACAAACCCTATGAAACTGGTCAGAAAATACTAAGTGTTTTTAGGGGAATACATCAATATTATCACTGTTTAATTTTACTATTCCGGACATTTTATTGCTTTTAGATGGCTAACAGGTCACTGGAAGAAAAAAAAAATACTGGCGTTTGTACATGGATTTTTTTCTGTGTTTTTACCACTGCATTTCTCATATCAAGAGTTAAATGGTTTAATGTATAATTTCCCATGTATAAAAAATTGACTACTATAGCTATTTCTCATTTTTAAACATGTCACTTACATGTAACGCCAATCAGTCTTGCTGTCGGCATGACCTTACTATGAACATGTTAAGACCAACTCCAACGAGGCAAACTTTTCTCATATTGAATCCTATTCGGAAGAGCCCAGTCTAATAAAAGTGGCTCATATCAATATCTCCCTTGCAGTACACGTTTCTGTGTCAGCAAAACACAGTTTTTGTACCCATTTTTCCTGCGAGTCCAGTCCGGTAAAACTGAACTTGTCATCACAAATCATTTGCCTCGAATGTATATTGATTCTGTGATGTATTACCGTGGAGAGGAAATACCACAGTACATGCACTACAGGCATGCACAGCATGCGTAGCCACGGATGACATCACAAACTTAAAGAATAATCTCATTCTTCGGAAACTCCAAGAATTTCAATCCTGTTTTTTTCGCAATATTTCTAGTACATACACCAATGACGCATGATTTTGGCATTATTGTCAATCTTGAAGAAAGGAGCACAAACTCTTAATGGAAAAGAGATCGATCACCGGTAAGAGGTGCACGGCGCACATGTAGTTGTGTTCATGTACATGTACCCTTATAGCGGAACCAGTCATGCCACGGATACCAGTTCCAATGCTTTCTCTGGTATTATATCATACAAATTTTGTTTCTCAACAGCGCCACCAGCAAGCAAATTGTGGAAATTTTTCATAGGGCCTAAAACTCCAAGACACCATTCAAAAGTTTCGGCAAAATAACAAGACACAATACAGACATGATTTGGTAATTCTAGCAGTCCCAAATCCTCCGATTTCAATATGTTTTTACATACTCCCTGGGGGGTTTGGGGTAATGAATATGATTTGTTACACACTAAATACAACAACAGTTTATTTTCAAAACTTTAAAAACTGTTGGAGTTGGTCTTTTAACATGTGGCAAAGGGGCATTACCCTTCATGCTGTTCAATGATGGGAAAGAGTTACATATACATATACGGACAACACTTGATGCCCCTGTGCACAAATCTATGAGACTTATCTGAAAAAAAAGTGTTTTCTAAGTAAACGCTTCAGAATTTTCTTAGCTAAATTTCACTTTTTAGGAGATGTTATCACTTTCTGATGGCTGTTATAGCATCTTAAGGGAAAATTAGTGCTGCCCATATATGGAACACTTACCCAACAATGTAAAATGTATAGAAGTTCCCATACAGATGTCAGACTGTGAGAATGAATGGATACATCTTTTTAAAAGGAAAGATTTACTTTAATTAGTGTTTTAACGTTTTACAGGTGAAAACTTGTTTGTTATTTTGAAAATGTTTCTCATACATGTATAATATTCATGCAACTGTGAACTGATGCGCAGAAACATAAAAATATTTAGCAGAAAACTGTAAATTAAATTGACTAATTCTTTTCCCCTTAGGGTTGTGCATAAAATGCAATGCTTGTTTGTCATCCAAACCCATAATGTATGGATAACGTCGGAAAGGTTTATTAAATGAAGATTTCCTACAGGTCTTAAAATTAAACTTATGCTACTAAGCAGTTATATAATTCTGGATACAACTGGACGGTCACTTTTGAAGATTTTGCCGTTCTAAAATTATTTTAGTGGGGGTATTAAAGTAAAATCTTTCCGGAAAGATTAAAATGTGTTATGTTATTACGGGGTGCGCCATTTCATCATACAGTACATATACATGTAGTTACCCTATTCATGCCAGCGCCAGTCTAGTACAGCAAAATGCCGTTGGTAACATGGTGAAACAGTTTGCGTTTGTCCAGAAACTGGACCACAATGTTTAGAACACTTTTTTATTATTTCAAACAATATTTCAACATTGCTATGAAAACTACAGACTTACCACCTTACGCATCAGCAGATAAATTTTTGAAGTTTCATCCGCAGGCCTCATTGAAACTTAAGGCCGCTTTTTAAGCAAAAGGTGAGCACGGTGTTCCAACACGTGTGATTTTGAATCGACTGGTATCCATGACTTGACTGAATAGGCTCACAACTAGGGCCTTAGGAACGAAATTCAACGATTACCAGCGACAGTCCCCTCGCGCTTACTCTCGCTGCTAAGCACCTGCTGCGTGAAATTTCGTATTTTAACGTGATTTCTTTGAGAGAGAGGAGTTGGGGGCCTTATACGGGCCACGGTGTGACAGCGCAAAAACATTGTGTGTAAAGTAACATTGGTCAATAATACGCCTGAAGGCGTTTTGTAATTAACAAAGTTTGAATTAAATATCTCGCTCTGTAGATCCCTATTACTAAAAAGTTCCTCAATGAAGTATCCAGCTTTTGGTGTGGGGGGGGCATATTAAAAAGCAAATGCACTTTTGTGCTCATTCAACATGATGATGGGGGAGAAAAAAATTTTTATTTTATTTTGTTATTTTTTTTTATAAATAAATATACCTATTAGTTTCTTTCCTACTCACCTATGAAGTATTCAGTTGAAAAAAGACCCCCCCCACCGGGTACGCCACTGGCATTCCTCCTTTATTATGCCTACGGATCATAGGGTTCCATTGCATAAGAATGGAAAAATCAAAAGGCTGGGATTTAGCCCCCAAGTCAGGTATTGAAAAACCCATAAAGGGCTACCTTCTCCCCCTCCCAATAAAAAAAAGGGCACAAGGCCTAGCATGTCTGGAGCCAAAGATGGAGCAAGATATTATTGTACTACGATCAGTGACATAGCCCCCTCCCCCTTCGAGAAAACAAAGAGAGTCAAATTTTGCAGCATTTCCAGGATTCTGAGCGAGGGCCGGGGGGAGCAGGGGGCTTCAAGCTAAAGTGGGGGGCTGACTAGATGTTGCACATATACATGTACATAATCATGATCACATCAAGTGAGGGGGTGACTAAGGACAATGATTTTTCATGGGGGGCATGCAATCCCCGTCACTCCGCTGGTCTATTTCAAGAAAAAAAAAACAAGATTGGCAATCCTCTACCACATCAGTCAGTTCCCTGCTCTCCCCCTATGTTGACAATCCTAGCATTGTAGGTAGGGCAGTCATGCAGGTTGTGAGGAGGGAAGACCTTCCCCACCTAAAAAGTTTGAAGTAGGGAAAGTGAAAGATAAAGATCAAAGGGGATGGAATTTATCACTCTTTTGCCTGAAAAACAAATAACAAAAACAAAAAATGCATGACTTACCCCCACCCCACTCCAGAAAAATACCTGCCCTCAACAGTCCAGGAAAGCATGGCAATTTTAATGTTTGAAAAAACTGCACTTTCCAAAGTATTTCATCAAAAGGCATGTCAAAACATTTTCGTACATTGAAAACCAGTATAAATTTGCAGAAAAATTGAAAAAAAAAAAGTCCATAGCAGTCCATAGGTGGAAAGAATTTTAGCAGACTGGACGACTTGCCCAGCCATGGAAATTTGGAAAGGGGGCTGTGATACAGATATCCACCTGTTAATATGTATTGCATTCATGCAAACTCTTGCATCAGAACAGCATATTAGTGGCTCTTTTTATCGTTTCCCTTTTTGAGTGATACTGAATATATTTTAGTCCTTGGGAAGTCAAAAAAATGCTTCACAATCCCCGTTCTTTTGCTCACCACGAAAAAGTGAAAGATGATTCAACATGTTCAATATCCCATCCACCCCCCTTAAAAGTGAGGGGCAAAACATACCCCCATCTGCCTCAGGATTTACTCCCATGATCAAATACCATGAACCTGTACACACATGCAGTCATCTCTTACTCCTGCACAGAGTGGATTCAGTCAACAAAATCTTTGGAATAAAATAGATTCAATCACAACAAATGTTACTGTATAATCGGGACTGCCGAAAAAGGTAAACTACGACAATGCAGTCATATACGATGCAACAGAAAGTGTAATATATGTTTTTGCCTGAAAGCACACGTTTTAATCACTTCAACTGACTTCATGCCTTTCAACAATTTTCTTGTTTTTAGTCCTGTACAATTTAACAAACTGTTTTAAAACTTTACAATTCAAATTCCACTTGTTGAAGAATCTACAGGTACTTACAGGATATGACATAACTCTCAGTTTTTCACAGTGTATTTTAAAAACAAAAATGAAAACTAGACAAAGTACAGACTGGTTCTCAAGTGGCATTTTTAATTTCCAGACACAATTCCTCAAATGCTAAGACTGTTGCAATTACTGCTGAAAATTTCAAATTGCATACTTCTCTCCCCCACAATAGGCCAGAAAAATATACTGGAACTGGTACAAATTAATGGTTCTTGTCAAGAATGCCCAGATTGCCAACTGTACACAAGTTTAAGTTGGAAGCAGAAATTCAAAAGACCACGCCCCTTCTTTCCTATGGGAGGTGACAAAGTCTTCTTGAAGTCCGATCATGTTTGCTGCAACACTCAGAGTTGTCTGCATCTTTGCTAAATTACATTTCATGGTTTAATTACAATATATACATGCCCGTACGTCCGCAGTCAATATTGAATTTGTATCTTTTATTTTTTCTCAATTAACTTTTAACATTTTAGACTGTACTCAGCAAATACACCACTTGTTGTCTCGTGGATACACATGTATGTCTATTGAATGTTACTAATTACAGAGATTTAATATTAATACACACAGGCATACATGTAATTTCGTTGCAATTATCTCTGATTCATTCAGGGAGACAGAGAGTAAACAAAGATTTCTGAATAACTAAAAGCAGACGAAACAAGAACTTTAACAAATTATAACTATGGTCTCCTTTTCTGAATATAAAGGCTTCATTAGTTTGGATTTTTCATAGCATCAAGGTATGATTATAACTGTATTAAAACCAGAAAAATAAAGCCATCTTTAGGGTATCTACGTTTCAGGCTAATACAAGACGCTGTCCCAAATGATTATATCATCAAATAAATCTACCATCTTCTGTGTACGTACATTTCAGGCTGATTGAAGACACTGTCCCAAATTAAAATATCATCAAATACACCTGCCATCTTCTGAGTGCCTATATTTCAGGCTGACTGAAGGCGCTTCCCAAATTAGCATACTGTTAAACACATGTACTTGGTCTGGCTAAATACTCCCTACACCCTGTTGACGAGAGCATGTAGGACAGTAACACGAATGCAGTTACACACAGTATGACACATTACCTAACAATTCCTGTAAATCTAAAACAAACCTAGCCCCCCCAAATCACCTGACACAAATGTCATTTTGTTTCAAACTCATAGTATACAGTCTAGTCACATTGTCCTCTGATTTTGATTTACTAAAATATTCACAATCTCTCAGTACTGCATTTATTGCTGACTACTGTACCTACAAGAACAAGACCATTCGAAGGACGACGATGCGTAGGGAAGTCATTTTTTTTCTCATTTCTGATTTTTGCAGGAGAGGCAAGACTAGGGAGGAAACTTGAAGCAGGGTTCAACAACTTTTTTTTTCACACCTTCACTGACGTTCTGGAAGGATCCATTCAGAGTTTCCAACACCGATGTTCACATCACACCACCCCAAAATACTCCAAGAGTATGACTTGACAAGCCAGAACACATTAGGTTTTTCCCTCTTTTTTGTAAGATCTTGTCTCCAGGAAGCTAGTATATCATTTAGCGATCCTGTAATAAGATGAAGTCCAAAATTGTAACATTCAGTTGAGCACAGCCTAAAACACAATTAGAAAAGAGAAAGTATCTCATAAAATTTAAAGCATGAAACACTGGGAACGACAGGACCTATGTCAGAAAATTAAGCATCCACAATTAATTGATCTCAGTGTAAAAATTCCAGATAGCTCATTGGCCATTCAAAGCTATACAAACAAGTGAAGTGATAGACTGGTTCCCAATCCTTCCGTTTGAATCTGCATAACGAGTTAACCTATCATTGAAGAAATCATTGCAAAGACACTGTTCATGGACTGGTCATAACGAAGACAATAAATTCACTTCCAACAGCCAATTTCCTGTTCAGATTTATTTTCAACACAGAGATTGGTGAGACCATAAAGCATGAAAGTGAGCCCTCTATTGCTGAATACTAGATATTCCCAGTCACTGAAGATTTACAATCTGTTACGCAAAAAGAAAAATTCCGAGCACTTTCCCTTTTAAGTAGATTAAAAATCAAGGACTTTTTCAAAATTCTCAGGATATTTACAACCCTCTCCTACAATAACTGGTTGAGCTTGTATTAACACCATCTAAGAATAATCTCTCTTTGGAAGAAGTGTGCTTCTGATAAACTGATGGTATGGGTCCACACTGTAATCGTTCTGAAGACAGCCAGGGCATATTGGTCAAAGCACTGACTTCAAGCCACCAGTTTTTACCAAGACCATACATCTTCCCAGAGGAGGGATTCTGCTCACATGATATCACTGCAAACCTGACCAGTCACACCTCCACCATGCAAAGCTTCAAATCGTACCCACTGTAGTATACAACTACAGAGAAAGCGGACCAAAATCTTGATACTCACGTATTCACAATTCTGTACATCAACGCCTCCGTCCCGCCAGCCCTGCTTTCATACATTGGCCTCCTCCCCTTCCCATGGGGGCTTGTCGGGCCGGGGCTTGGCACATCGCACAGCCAGCTCCATGTATGTCTCTTCTTGAAGAAAGGTCACCAGAACCACTGTCATGTTGTCGCAGCCAAGACCCCCCATCTGGCAGTCAGGTGCCAAGCACCTCGTCATCAGATCCTCACAGATCTTCATGGCAGTAGACAGACAGAAAGAAGGCTAGTTATCAGTCTTCCTATTTTCAGGGGAGGTATGGACTAAACGGCAATTCGACAGCAGAGAGAAATTCTTTGTCCTCAGTGAAGTTCGTCAATTTATGAAGACCCCCCATGTTACAAAAACCTGAGGTCAATTTTATCTAGCTGTTAAGCACAGACATTTGTGACCTGCTTGGTTAAATTCAGTCACAAGGGCTAATCCAGAACCACATTTTCAATGAGGGGTGCATTTAATTTGGGAGGCTAAAAAATTTGGAAATTTTTTCAAGTCACCTTTGATGACCTTTCTGAGGACTAAGTTATATTTTTGAAGCTTTTCACACACTTTTGGAAGAGAGGGAAATTAAACAGACCAAGACAATTGCCTTCTCTCAATGTTTTCAAAACAAATTGGAGGGGTCCTTGTATGGAGGACGAAAAGTGGCCATCTGCTTTTCTGCTATCAGAATGGTAGAAAAGCAGATTTTATCTTCTGGTAACATGCAATTTCGGCTTTTCTACTTTTCTGCCACCTCAAAAAGAAGAACGAACATTGTTTGGTTATGCATTTTTGTATTTTTCTGCTTTTTTGCTTCAAGAAAAGCAGATTTTACTTTTTCTTCATTTGCTGGCGGCCGAAAAGCGGCCATCTGTTTTTCTGCTTTCGAGCAGGCAGATAGTTTGAATCAACATTTTGACGACAACCGTGAATTCAACTTTTCTGCTTTTTTGATACCGGAAAAGCAGTTTTTACATAGGGGGCCGAAAAGTGGCCATCTGCTTTTCTGCCTTCCAAGGGCCATGAACGGGGTCGTGAACTTAAGGTTATGACCATTTCCTTTCTTGGATATCGAAGACGTATAAACTAACAATTACAGTCCACCCTATCTTTTATGATGAAAGATTCACACGTTTTCCTTGGCCCAAGCAAGCTTGATGATACTTGTAAAACTGTATTTCCTTTGAGATTCTGTTTCCTCTGCCTCACAGAGACACTGATACTGCAGTATGGGATAGGTCCCTAGAGAGCATAGTTACGTACTGCTTTCCATACCTCTTCACTCCCCCAAAACGGAAATGGTCGTAACCTACTGGTTCATGACTCCATTCACTTCCCATTGAGGACAGAAATGCAGATGGCCACTTTTCGGCCACCTATGTAAAATCTGCTTTTCCGGTATCAAAAAAGCAGAAAAGTTGAATTCACGGTTGTCGTCAAAATGTTGATCCAAATTTCTGCCTGCTCGAAAGCAGAAAAACAGATGGCCGCTTTTCGGCCGCCAGCAAATGAAGAAAAACTAAAATCGGCTTTTCTTGAAGCAGAAAAGCACAAAAATAGAAAAATGCATAACCAAACAATATTCGTTCTGCTTTTTGAGGTGGCAGAAAAGTAGAAAAGTCGATATTGCATGTTACCAGAACATAAAATCTGCTTTTCTACCATTCTGATAGCAGAAAAGCAGATGGCCACTTTTCGTCCTCCATAGCTCCTTGAAATGAATTTACAGGTCTTGAAATGAATCTTGCAGAATAGGCCTTGAAATAAATCTTGCTGTATGTAAATAAAACTTTCATCAGGCTAAGTGATACATCAAAACAAAAGGGCTCAATTTGCTCTTTCAAATACAAATTAAAGTGGCCTTGATGACTTCTAATTCATTTTCACAGCGCAGTTTACATTTGTACTAACAAGCAGATATTATTTCTTTAGAGAAGGAGGTTACCGGCCAATATTTCATACATTTTTAGCTTCCTGTGACTGGTTCCCAGTTAATTTGTACTCAGCACACAACTTTGCTAAATGGTTTATTCTGCCAAACAGATCTGAAATTGTCCAGTGATTGATCAGTCCATGCGAACTTAAATGAACGGTGCAGGAGTCCCTGCACTCAGTTTTATTTTTGGCTAAAGGTTACTTGCAACGAAGTCAAGGTTTTAACAAAAGAGCAAGCTTGGCTCTGAAAGTCAAGAGACAACTGCAGACAGAGGTTTTGGAAACAAAAAACAAAAGAAACAACTGATCAGTTCTTGGCAAAGAAGGGAGGATACCCTTGACTGCACGATGCACAGATTTAGGCTGGGACTGAGAACCAAATCTGCACGTCGGCTTCGGATTGAATTCGAACCTTGGTCACAGCTGGGAAAGCAATGACAGTGCCACTTCAACACAAGGGTTCTGACCTAAAACTAAGAGGCCTTATTAGTGGATGATCCTCGACAGATGACCTGTACCTTTTCGGGTTCCATTTTACTGGCTATTCTTGACCTGATGAAGTCTACCACCTCCTGATTGGTCAGTACATCCCAGATGCCGTCGCACGCCAGCACTAAGAACTCATGGTCTGGCCGAATATCGTTTACTGTCACATCGGGCACCGCTGATTTTAAAAATAAATAAAATGGAAACATTTCTAAAAAACAAACACAACCCCCCCAAAAATGGAATGGAAATTAAGACATTTTTTATAAAAATTCAAATAGGTTCATAAATTTACATTTAATACTTCTTTTCATGGATTTATAAAGCCATCAATTGTTCTATACAAATACTGTTTTCCTATGTGCTACAGAAAGAATTGTTTGAACACTGGACTGCATATTGTTATAGACCATGCAGTATAAGCACACAGGAAAGACATAAATCTACCTAAGACCAAACCAAAAAAGTAAATTGTATTTGCTGTATCCTCAATGAGTATGCTACAATTGCTATGTCTATCCCTTCAGAAACTCAAGTACAGGTACCAGTAGGTACCCATTGGCATTCCTATCTGCTTGTTTAACGCTCGTTCAAGAGTCAAGTTAACACATCATCTCCCCCAAATAACCACAGTTACTGGCCTCCACACCTGCCTTTTTCTCATCTTGGATCATTTTAAGAGCCGTACAGCATTTGGTATGACACTCTCTACTCATTCAGCCAGCATCCAACAACCACATAGTTTTCTCGCAGTGTTAAAAATGTAATTGCAATGTTAGCAGCTACCAAATTCAAATCATGGCTTCTCAAAGTTGACTGGTATCCCTGTAACTCCTTAAGTGAAATTATAAAATCTTTTAACTTCACAGCCCTGATGTAAAGTTTTTCCTTTTGTTTTGCGAGTGTGTTGCGCATCCGTCTCAATAACAAAGAATTAAAAATACAGGTTTGGTTCACCTTCCCTGTGGTGTTATTTCACAAACCAATTTCCTAATGCCTACCACAACCATTGAAGTAACCAGTCACTGGACACTTTGTACACTTTCTGCATGACAAAAGAGACTGCCCGATTCTTATTGCTTCATTTGGGCTGCCTCGAAGAAATACATTTGAAGAAGCAGTTCATCAAGATGTACGGTGCATCGGGGAGATGTTAATTTCAATTAGGGGTTTCGCCCTTGCCCGACGTATGAACACTGAATACTCCGTGCTTGTCCGAGAGCTTGTGAAAAAATTCACAAGCTTACTAGGGTGGGACTCAAACCCATGACCTCCTGCTTAATACAAGTGCAGATGTCTTAACCACTCGACCATCAAGCTTGTCATGGTTGGCTGGCCGGTCCGAGGCAGGTGTAGCAGCGGGTTTTGCAAACTATTATCAAGATGTACTTTGCATCTGGGAGATGTTAATTTTAATTATGGGTTTTGCCCTTTCCCGACGTACATTTAAGAACACTGTATACTCAGACTGATAAATATACGTCGCGTAAGGGCAAAACCTGAAATAATAAAAGAAGCAGTTTAGTCTGCTCAAATGCTATTTGGCCACTGGGCTAGTGCTAAGGGTTCATACTTGGTGCACAAGTGAATGCAAATCCAAACTTATAACGTCGGCTCAAATACTCCTGCTGCGAATATGCAAGAGGTGAACATGTTTCAACTCAGCAAATTACGCTGCAAATGTTTTATGATGCCAAATCTGCTTTGCTTGCATGCTGGCCCAAGGTACATGTACAGACTGGTCTTAACAGTGGATCATTCACAAGCCACAATCTCACCTATAACAATCTGTTCTTCTGCCGGTTTGCTTTCATTCCTCTTGAAGACGAAATCTCCTAATGCTCTCGAGAGTGCCAAATTGCCTGTCGAACATCAAGAGTCAAATAACTCCATAATAGCAAAACATGATATACACAACATGATGGAAACTCTTAGGGAACAAAATGTTCACATTAAAGTTATTCAATGTTAATTCTGGAAACCAAAGTGAAAGTCTATATTCACATAAGTAGCATTTTTCCCCAAAGGGAGGGCTGCCCGTATCTTGACCCGTAATAAGCAAACCTGTAAATTTTTAGACTGATCCAGGGATACATGAGAAAGCGAAAAATCTGGAGAATACATATTAACTAATTCATGTCGATGTCAAAGTTGCCGTCAATCTAGAGAAACTACAATGACAACACATACATGTAACTTTTACTTTCATAGATTTTGTCAGCTTTTAAAGGTAGTGAACACCATTGGTTTTGGGACTGATTACGGTGTATAATATTCCTGACAACTTACATTCCACCAACTTGTTTTATGTTTGAATCAACTGCTTTGTTAAAAATTGAGAAAAACATTGTGAAATCAAAGATTTTGTAATTTATCTTGCATAAAATCTATGGATTACGGGGTGTTCGTAGTAAGTGAACAATATCCGCGTGGTCAGGGTGGGAAATAGGCATGACAGGTTCTCATTCTCTTAAAAAAGGAGCAGTTTTCAACGGTTAGGAGTAATCAGTGAATTTACCTTGGAATAATGCGCCTCTTCAACAATGTAGCATTGCGGATTCACGAAAAAATCATCCAGGAGCACAATCGACTTGTGCCCGTGACACCGAAACAACTATGCCTATATGCTAATGCACGTGTGCTGTCGTGCTTAACGACTGCACTTTCACATGAGTTTACACGTCAGTGAAAGTCTTAAAAAACTCCATTCTCAGTTGATTCACAAATAATTACAAGCAAAGATGAAACTATGTCTTGAAACATGGGAGGTAGAGGTTTAACCTGTGGAAATCATACTTTTCGTTCACGAAAATGCCTTCAACATTTGGATTTTACCATTATGCTCTAGGGGTGATTTTGAATTTGCAAAGTTTTCAGTTAAACAAATCCTATCCTTAAATAAAATTCAACTTCATACTCATTCAATTTATTTTTTACTTTACACCTTACACTCATCTTTATATAACTTCAATTTTCAATGCTTTTGGTGAATTTCTGTCAGTCTATTATTAGCTGCTTTTAGATTTACCCGTTAATTAACGGAGACTCCCACAATATCTACCAACACTACACAAGAAAATTGTCACCTGTTAAAGAATGTGAAATGAAATGAACTCTTTATATGATGGTTGCGACCGTCGTAAACAAGAGAACAAAATTTCTATTTCCTCAAAAACTACAGCATTCTGGGCAGAAATACTACACAGACCGATTGAGGCTGTTACGTACTTTCTTTCAAGTAAGATATTTCAGGATTTTACGGTAGTCCTATTTGGGCGATTTTACCAATGGTGTACACTACCTTTGAAAAGAAAAAAAAAATCAGGAAGCGAATTTTTAAAACACAGCAACTGTACCTACCATTGACTCTGTTGAATTCCACCCATCCTCCAGCAGCTATAATTCTCTTAGTTTCCTCCTCATTGCCTGGTTTGTGATCATGTGACAATGCCTGAGCATGACCACTGACACTAGCTACCGCCCTGGAGTCTCCAACATTTCCCTGGGTCAATCAAACAGGCAAATATGGAGTGAAGTTTCTATACATCTCTTTGCGTCAAGATGTGCGATGAACAGAAAGGTGTTTGTACTTACACAATATATTTTTCCATTTTTTACAACCACAATCAGAGCTGTTGTGCCCGCAAGTTCGTCTTTCATTGTCTCATCTGCATAAAAAAACAAAAACAAATTGGCTGATTTGTAAAATTACTTTCTTACTTCAAGCCACTTTTTGTCATCATTTGAGCAAGTTCATGTTTAAAGGCTTATCTGTTGTAACCATTTGTAATTTATAAACAATGACTCCTGCAAACATTGAACTCCCTTGTCAGAAAAAAAGAAATGGTGAAATTACGTGGAATTGCACGGACTTACCACTAAGCATATCCTCGTCCAATAACAAAAAGGCTTTCTTGATGCTGTCAGCAATGTCGCCCTTCTTATACGATGCCTGATTGGTCAGTTTTGTGTGGAGGTGCTGACCAGCATACTGTGCAACTTTGGCCCCTGCCATGACCAAATCCAAATAAGACATTGTCAATATTTTCAATAAAATACATGTGAGAATCAAAAGCCTTGAAGTTACTGCAGATCAAGTCAAATATTTAAAGATTAAATTATGGAAATATTCAAAGATTTTTACTCAACCAGCAGTGTTGTCATCAGGTTGCTGTATGTTCATGCTTGCACCGCGAGAGCAATTTCACATGTCACTTTGACTGATTGGACAAATGGATGGAGAAATTACGCACGACATCCTAAATAAATCATCTTGTTACGGTGGGCAGGTCCCACACAATCAGTCTCTAGCAAAAGTGTGTTGTCATGATATTGACGTACGGTTAGATCAGCTGGAATCTGTACACAATATTTTGCATTAGACAATTGCACAGACACAGTACTGTGCTTGTGTACACACTCGAAGAGTACAATGTGCATGTGCACGTTACATAGGAAAAGGAGCATTAGTTAAAATGCATGGCCACGTACTGGGGTAACATCTTTTGAAATTGCATTTCTCCAGGGGGGTTTTGATACATTTCATTTTCTTCAATATTCTTTTCATCTGTGACAGGTTTTTTCAAGCTTTGCACGCAAAAACCAGACATGTTGGTGTTTTTCATATCAAGTGTCTGACCAAATTTTAACTGGGGTTTCTCACGATAAAAACTGTGTCAATGTGCCACATTAATAAGTTCTGTTCTTACACTATAAGTGCTACTAGACATTACAACCAAGTGTCTGTACTGTAACCGAAATGTACAACAGCAAAGCCCATGAAAAAAATTATACCATTGTGGGAAATGAAAAAAGAGAACGAAAATGTATATGATCAAACCAAAACATCCAGTAAGCGGGGACATTTTCACATGTACAATGTACATGTACGGGTACATTGCAAAATACCTTTGCACAGACCCATCAAAAGCAAACTTCTACATGTATTTCCTTTCGCCCTTGTCTTCACTCCCCTTGGAAGGCCCACAATTTCCTTCTTATTACATGTACGAGCACAATGCTATCCAGTACATCATGTACATGTACGTGCTACTGGTGCATGTACATGTATGTCCTTATAGTAGGGTACAGCTACATGTACATGTGTACAAGTAAGAAGGTTTGCACATGTACTTATAACTGACTTAAGTGCCTATTTTTGGCTGCATGTATCCTGTCTTTATTGACTTGTAACCATCGTACATATTGGATAGATCTTCACCACGGCCTGACATCTGGGAGGAAGAACACACGAGCAGCGTCTGTCCAGGGACTGCCGTCCCTCGACAGGTATTTTTGAAACAGTCGACTGTTTCAAAAATACCTCCTGACAGTTACAAAGTGGCTACTACACTAACAGCTTTGCGATCCATCATTATCATGGGGATAATTCAGGCACTCGTGAAACCCACACACACTCCAACACAGAGCATATGCGGCCAGGTTGTCTGGGCAAGCTCGGTTCCCCTAGACAGAGTAATCTATGCGGATTTATGGCCATGAAGCTAATCATCATTATATTTCCGCAACCCTTATGTCAAGTGAACAAGTCTGAAAATCGCAGGCACTAGAAAGTAAGTGCTTTCCACTGCTCCCAGTCTTGTACCGGTACATGTATGTATCTATCTTTCTCGTTAGTAAGTACGGTAATACCGATCAAATGTACCAAACAACACCAGCCGTAAGTCTATGCAGGTCAATTTCCAAATATGAACTATGGCTTTAGGGGCTGGTGAGGCAGACAATTCTGAAGGGCAGACGATTTGTGTTGGTGCTTACATCTGAAGGCAAATGACACACTGTTTGGCGCAGTCCACAGCTAAATGAAACAGACGGATATTCTGCATTCAAAACGAGCTAATATTCAATCACCGCTACCAGTCGGAGGAGTCAGTGTTCAAGAATTGTAGGCAGGAGAGGAATCGAGGAGCTGCATGTACCGGTACATGTTCTTACAAATGAACTTTCAACATGGATCCACGCAGCCTATTAAAATAATAACGAATAACCCAGTAACCCACATTTCTTTACATCAAATAAAATTTTTATGCAATTATGTACTGATCACACTTCTGGGTACACTTACATGCAGCACTTTAAATATCAAGACGAAATGAAGGACTAATTCTTGGCAGTTCCAAAGTTTAAAATTTCAGGATGAATTTATGTGGTTTTAAAATACGTACAAAAAGGGTGAAATTTGGGGGAAATCTACAATTTCGGATACATTACTTGTCACAATTTCCCTTTTATATCGAGCATTGATAACTATTGTGGATACATTAAATACAACATATATTAGAGAAAATGATAATAAATCTTGTACTTTGACTTTTGTGGTGTCATGGAGCCATGCATTTAAAAGAAAATAGCTAAATATCCGGAGTAATTCTCAGTACACACAATAGCAGCATGTACATGTGAAGGTGCCGTACGCAGTGAATGTTTATATGTGTAGGTGGATGTCTAGGAAGGAGATTGGAAAGAAAAGATTAAAATTTGCTTAAGGTTTATCTCGTGTACTTTGCACCCCCCTATTCGCATGAGTACACACACTGTGATGGCAAAATTTATCATGGGCAAAGAAACATGCTCCTTCAACCAAACTTTTTGTCTCTCCTTTTGTACAGATCGTGTTGACACGAATCCAGTGCATTACGCGACTGTTTTCATACAAAACACAGGCGAGGGCGGTGGTGGAGGGAAGGGGCAGATGAAGGAGAGGATAAGATGATGACTTACCCCCATGTCCATCGTAGACGGCAAAGAACGCCGAGTCCCTGTCATCGTCCGTGTTTAGCTTGGTTGTATGCGCATCTTCCATATCTGTTAAGGTTCGGTCAAGGAACTCAAAACCACACAAATTCAGCCAACTGTGACCTATGATTATTCAGCCATGCGTAATGCATGCATTTTGATATCTGTCAAGGCAGATTATGTGAGCTCATACATGGATTTCAAAAAGGTTTTTTTTTGACACAAAACCTAAATCTGTCATAACAAAAGTAAACCAAACACAAATGCACCTGTCTGCACATCAATTACTGTACATGCAGAAACCATAGACATTACCCTTGAAGGGTCTCTGCACTGGAGTGTTCTGAACAAAAACCTCCAAATGCTCCTTTTGCCTTATTTCACCTCCTTTTCAAATTTTGCCTTACTATTTAAAGGGTATTTTGCTGCCATTTGGGATTTTATTTGATGATTATTTCTCCATATTTATGAGAAAAACTGTAATACCATCACTGAAAGAAAACCTATAAACCTACCTACAAAATTGGTGTGCGCAAGAAAATCTCATGTTTCTTCTTTTTTTGCTGTTTTTTGTTCTTTTTTTTTAGATTTTGCTGGCCTAAATTTTCTTTCCTTCGGTGAATCATTATTGTATTAGTACATGCAATAAGCATGTAAGCAATCCTCTCTCAGAAATATTTTCATGAAGTAAATTCTTGGTTCACAAGTTGCACAGCAAAACCCATCCTCTGAACCAAGTCTTCCCTGCATAACATTACAGCAACAGCACCCCCAATTGTCCAGTAAAGAGCATCGATAATTTCAAATGTTTAAAAAATTGCACTTTTTCATGCATTTTACCTGACAGGAAATGTCAGATATTTTTCATACATGAAGAACATCAAGTTAATACAGAAAAAAATTGCATGAGAAAAACTCACTGCAGTTACACTTTAAACGATTTCCCTCTCTTGTTGACACAGGGAGGGCTCCTTACAGCACATGGATTGAGCGCAGCAAGAACACATCTCTTGATGTTCACTTTTTACTCCCCGATTGGTCTTATACAAGACTTTATTACACGGGCATCTTCACACACTCTTGGAAATAAATTACATGTAGAACTAAAACTAATGAACAGTTGCTGCCTACTGGATGCACATGTACAATTCATGTGAAATAGGAAAAAGTGTCTTCTGTCCCCATGATTCCTGCCTTCTCCTGTCCTATGCACGGTAGCCTGCAACCTGAATGGCCCCTTCACCTTGTGTTGGACAATATTTTTTAAAAATTGCTATCACAATTCATAGCACACAGATGTACACATGTACAGTGTACATCTATTATACATACAGTATATGGAAGCCTGCTCAACTTGATTAATGGTTCAGCACCGACAGCGACTTCAAAATGATTGAAAAATTAAGAACACATTTCCCAAGGCAATTCCTGAAGAACAGTGACTTGATTTTTACTCAAACTGCGACAAACAAACAAAAAATGTCTGCTTACAGACCAATACAGAGTTTGTCACATCGAGCACATTGGCCAGTTGACAAACAAGACATCTTCAAGACAATTTGTGTGGATGTATATGTACATGTATATATCCATACAGGGAATTTTGTACATGTACTCGTAACTGGGAAGTGAAAATGGACTCATTTAAAATTTCCTCTTCCTGTTTGGTGAAGTATTTCAGTAACACAATCAATGCCCCCACATGCCATGCCCATCTGCAGACTCGGTAAAACTGATTTGATCCCGAGTTCATCGTCAGAACTGCAAGCATCCCGTGCTGTACAAGGGAAATTCTTTTTCGCCGAGGCTCGCGAGAGAGCAAGCGAAGCTTGTTGAATGACTGGTGGGGGGGCGGGTGGTTGCAGCAACTGCTTAATGAAACCATGGGGGGGAGGGGATTGTTCCGGGTTGCCAATTAATAGCGCATCAAGGCATCCAGTATGGTTAAAGGCATATAACTGCAGGGGATTGATTAAGGTTGGACCAATATTGGCACAATATAGCTGGGTGGACTATGCGGACCTAAATGTACCTGTACTTGGCAGGATTTAACCGCACGGCAAATTTACATACCACACAGAGAAATCTGGGGACCAGTCAAAAGCAAATGGTAATATCACAGCAGCTTGGATTGTAAGCAGTTGTGTTTTTGCAAAGCAAGATTCTGGCAAATGAACACATGGTTCAAACGCATCCTGTATGCCAGGTCATGTTACAATTACATGTATGTACAGAACATTGATTTATTATTCACATGTACATGTATATGTATGGTATTATTGTTAAATCCTATTTTCAGCTCCCATATTTGATTCAGTCAATATACACGGAGTTATTCTGGTATCCTGGTTTACTGTAAGGCTGTTCCAAATATCTGAATATTCGATCAATTATCAAATATTTGAATAGTATTTTCCGAATTTGAATATTTGAATGCAAAGTTCATGAAATAGAAGAGAGCATTTTCTTTTGTTTTAAACGAGAAAAATTGCACTATGGAGGCTTGTTTCAAGCAGATTCAAATGAAAAGCAACAGAAATCTTATGACCATTCTAAAAGTAAATTATTCATTAATAAACTTAAAAGGAATACACATTTTCAACAGGACAAGAGGTATTGTTTGTCTCTAAAATCTCGCTAAATTGTGGCTTGACATACTCCTCGATGTGAGAAAGTATCACAGTGATTACAATGTACAATTGTGTGCGTCACTGCAACTGATTTTTGTACATGGTTTGTTCATCAATTATCTGCCGGTCGGTACGTCCGAATATTCAGATACATGTATTTGATCGAATTGAAGGTCGAATATTCAAATAGTGAATTATTGGAATTGACTCAGCCCCAGTTTACTGATTATATGTGCTCACAATTCATTTCAAAAGACACCACGCGTGTACGTGCTGGATAATCAGCTACATATACATTTGTTGAACTTATTAGGAGAGATACATGCACCTGCACAATACACCAGTACAAAAACTGTACAAGTGCAGCTGTAGCCCCAGGTAAGCAAGGCATAAATTTATGATACTCCCCCCACCGTGGGGTTTACATATTTGTACACATGTTTACCGGTATATGTACATACTGGTACATGTCCACGTCTGTACATAATAAATCTGCCCTGCCAGCATTAACTTTGCATAATGTGAGTTCAAATGTAAGACCATACCTTTAAGGTACGGGTACTATACAGTATACATGAATGGGTAGGCATTCCCTACTTCAGGGAACAATTTCTTGCCATGGGGAATTTAGAACCACATATCTGGTCCTTCTAGTCTCTACACATGTGTGTAGTCCTCATAACAAGTAAACAAGTATTTGTACACGTGCGAATACATGCATTCTTACAAATGTAGGTGTGTGCACAAAGTCAACAATTTCCCAAGCGACATGAACACATCTACATATTCAGGAACCTTGGTCAAGATTTGTTGATCTAATCTTTAGGACACAGCCCGGATGTACATGAAACAAAACAAAGATACCCAATATCGGAACAAAACCTCATACACGTATGCGTGCCTGTCAGTAAATTTGACAACCTGTTTTCTATCTTTGTGCTGAGACGACACATCAAACTCGGTCTCATACATGTATTAGCATGTACATGCACATGTATATGTTGTACATGTATATCAGCCCTTTCATCTTCCTCCTTGGATATTTGCAAATTGTGCAATTGTTACTGATTAACCAAGGAATTTCTCCTGAGGCATAATTGGTCAATATCACATGATATCCCATGGCTCCAAGGAATGGATACTCCCAAGTAAGGAGACATCAACTACATGTATGTTCGAATCAACGAACTGCGGCTGGAAGCACATGAAGTACTGTCAGTCACCAGCTATGGCTTTCATCAATGCAGGTGGCTTCACATGTACATGAACACTGCGGCACTCTGAAGTTTAACCCTGTTAGTCATTAACCCTAACCTCTTAGAGATTTCTCACCATTTTGCAGGGTTGAAGTGCACAGGAAATTTGTGCCAATTCAAGGTTTCCTGCACAGTGGAAGATTTTGGAAAATTCTAGCAATGCTCCTGGATAGATTCCTCGCGAAGTAATTTATCAAGAACGTAAGAAAATCAGAGAAGTCCTATCCACAATGGAAGTTATGAACTCATTCATTCTGTAAGGTCTTCCCACAAGTACACCTATTCAGTGACAAATAATGAGAAATATCAGCTTGACAGTACACTTATCTCAGCTCCTCGGGGGGAACAGCTCTATGGGAAATGAAAGTAAAGTTCTAGACCAAAATCACTGAAATCCATCATATATTGACTTCTTATGACTCTGACTAAAAAGGTATTTATGAATGGGAATAAATATGTGCCTGGACGGTCTTAAATGTTAGTTCAATGATAATGCCCTCACCTGCGGCTCGGGCCTGAGCCAGTGCATTTAAGACTGGCCAAGCACACATTTATTCCCTTAAATAAACATAATAACTATCACTGCCCCCACAGGCAGTGATGTAGTCGAGTACTTTTTGAGAACCAAGTTCTCTACCAAATATTTAACTAGTTAGAAGGATCAAAGCTGAAGTACATCGGCATTTGATGGTATACGCATAAAGGTAAGATTACAAAGCAACATACTGACTTCAGACCATCACTGTTTGATTGAAATTAACTTTTTAGGACAAAAGTACACGGAAAGTACTCGGCCGAGTACTTTCTGAGTACTTTTCTCCTTAAAACTTAAATTTTACACAACTGGGAGTGTCTGAAGTCTAACATTTATTTTGTAATCTTACCTTTGCACATTTACCATCAAATGCCTGTGCACTCTGGCTTTATTCCCTCTTACCCAGTTCAGCATTTTGCGGAGAACTTTGGTACTCGGAAAGTACTCGACTACAACACTGACCACAGGTACCCTTTTATACTGCTGGGCATAGATAGGCAAGCACGAATAAAGTGGCTTGCCCAAAATCACAAGATGTAACCATGTAACCAGCTACTGCATTCGAACCCTCGACCCTATCACCCGGAGTTACATGTATCAACATTAACCCCGAGGCTACTGACACATTCTCTTAAACAGAGGCTGGCT